GCATTGAGGTGAATCTACCGCCACCTACATACCCATGTGATGTTACATAAATTTTTGGCGCCCAACGTGGGGCCGCTAACGTTTTGGTGATACCCCAGTTATTACATATTTATACTGTTTTTTTTCACGTTGCTTGGAACGTAGTTGCAGTACCGAACTTTCCAAGAGTTGTAACCATCGTTAGTTGTCGCACATTTCCGGTTTGTAGTGAGATTTATACACGGAGTTTGGAGTTAGTATTATAATTGCTGACGATGATAAGATCAGCTTAGTCTTACTTCCGCATGCTTGATGCTAGAGTACTTAATTAGTCAACAGTCTACGATGCTGGTTATTCTGCCTGGATACCATGCCGAGACAAGAGTATGGCTACGTTAGGACTCAGCTTAAATCCGAACTTTGATAGCAATTTTCAGCCGCTATCCTTGGAATTGATCTCGCAAAAACCTAGCTCATTTTTTTTTGAGAAATCAATATTTTTTAAGCATAGATTTTTGAATACTGTCGTACACGTTTCCAGAAAGTTGCGTATTTGGCTGAGATCGGATACCAATACTGAATGTCCCTGCGATACATTTTTTTAGATCAGCTAAGGGAGTTTCGGTGAAACCAAATAATTGAACGGATAGTTTCTGTCAGGTGTATGGTCAAGTTGTTGTCTGGAAATTGTGCATATGCTGCATGTGCGTACACATGCCGAATAATTTGAACCATATAGCTGCAGGGAAACGATCTGGTACCGTTATTATAATAGATTCAATAGCTCAGTTTATTAAAAAAAAAAAAAAAAAAAAACCCCTTCATCCTACTTATCGTGTCTGACAGATTTTTTTTTCTTACCTCTACTTTGTCATCAGCTTATGTCAAACCAGGATATTTTTTCATGATAATGCCTGTAGAACACAGTCCCGGACAAGTTCCACCGCCAGGTTCTGTGACCAATACTCAATGCGCTCTTTGTAAACAAGAGATAAATAATACCCATCCCTGTTATTTGTTGAAATGCAAACACGTCTTTCATAAGCTTTGCTTAGAAGGTTGGCTGGCAGAGCATGATAATTGCTTCATTTGTAACAAAACTATTAACCAACCAGACCTGAAATTAGTTGTTGGCAATTGCTCGCCTGGACCCAAGCAAAGTACGACCAATACTGCCCCTACGGGTCACAGAGTTATGACTCGAAACCTTACTAAGGCTTTAAATCAAGCTCCAGCAGCAACTGCTGCCGAAACACAAGACACTCGTGGTTTGGATGCGAGTGCCGTAGCGTCATCCGCCCTAGATGCTAGTCAAAGCACCAACCAAGCTGAAGCTCCTCCTAGAGACACCGGCACTAGAAGGAGAGGTAGAACTACGCGAAACCGAAATTCTCGTCAAGGTAACGCGGTTGACTACACAATTTTACAAGAAATGATTGAACAAACTGTGACTAGAGTTATGGCAAACTTTAACATGGGCGTAAGCCAGAACGCTCAACCCAGTTCTAGCCCGACATATACCCATGCTGTACCCATACCTATCCGTGACACTCCTGCTACGTTTGCATCTTCTACGCTTAATAGAAAGACAGCTGACACAATGCAAAAGTGGAATTTACACTTTGATGGATCCACGGAAGGCTTAGGAGTAGAAGAGTTTATATATAGAGTCAAATCATTGACAGACGAAACCTTAGATAGCGACTTCACTGCCATGTGTAAGCACATGCATATATTGTTTTCTGGAAAAGCCCGAGACTGGTACTGGCGGTACCATAAGCAAGTAGATCGTATAGTTTGGTCAGATATTTGTGCTTCTCTTCGGCAGCAATATAGGGACTATCGCTCCGCTTTTATGAGCAAAGAGATGATTAGGTCGCGTAAGCAAAAGCCTGGGGAATCATTTTCCTCTTTTTATGATGCCGTTGCATCACTGATTGATAAGTCCAGCGTTAAAATGGACGAAGAAGAGGTTATGGAGATTTTGAAAAACAATTTGCTCCCTGAAACCCGCGAAAAGCTTTTGTATCAGCCAGTACACTCAGTTGGACATTTACGTAGGTTAGTAAACATGAGTGAGAATTTAGAAAATGAGCTCCGTTGCCGTGCAGAAAGCGTTACCAAACCGAGACCGGCAGTCAATCGCCGTCAAGTCTATGCCCTTGAGGACGCTTGTCATGAACCAACAGAAGATGTAGATATTGGAGGAGAGTTAGCAGCTCTTCGTAGTAGCCACTCGAAAACCAAGTGTTGGAACTGTGAGGAGTTAGGTCACATTTGGGAAAACTGTTTGTCAGAACGTCGTATTTTTTGCTACGGATGTGGCGCTCCGAATGTCTATAAGCCACAGTGCACAGCTTGTCTCCGAAAATTATCGGAAAACCGTCAAACGGGTGCATCCAACGCCAACCGGATGGGCCCGAAAGCGTAAAACAGCCAGGGTTGGCTGAAAAAATAAATTCTATACCACCTATCCCTAAACCTGTTCCCCTTCATCGTCGATCGTATGAAGACAGGCTTAACCACTATTTAGAGGTTAGAAATCGTATTTTTAAGGATATTCCTCTTAAATTGAGTAAGCGTACTTTGCGCTTACGAAACTTTTATGACGATATTAAGAGAAACCAAAAAACTCTTAGTCTCCACAATTTTTAGTAACCAGAACGATATGCGCAGCTATGCTGAAGTTTCGTTCTTGACGTATAAAGAACTTGGTCTCTTGGATACAGGAGCGAATATAAGCTGCATCGGTTCCTCTCTTGCAACAGAAGATTTTTCTAAGATACCTGAATTTAAACCTTTAAAATCACGAGCTAGAACCGCAGATGGTGAAGAACAGAAAATTATAGGAGTTCTTGACATTCTTATGACTTATAAAACAGTCAAAATGCCAATGAAACTGTACGTTATACCCTCCATAAAACAGAACCTTATTTTAGGTCATGATTTTTGGAGAACCTTCTCACTTGCACCGAACATTATTAGTTCTCTAGATAACACTGTGGACTCAACTAGAACCACAGAAAACGTGTACCCTTTGAGTCAGCAGCAAATTCAGCAGTTAGAAGTCGTTAAGGCTTTGTTTCCGAATGCTACTAAAGCTTTAGGACGTACCACATTTATCCAACATCATATAGATGTAGGAGACGCAAAGCCTGTGAAACAGCGTTTCTACCCCGTAAGCCCGGCTGTAGAGAAATTGCTTTATAAAGAGATCGATCGTATGCTCCAACTGGATGTAATTGAGCCGTCGGTCAGTGCTTGGAGTTCACCCATGCGTCTCGTTGTGAAACCCAACAAAGTTCGACTTTGCTTGGATGCCCGCAGACTTAACGAAGTCACAAAAAAGGACGCTTACCCTTTACCTAGTATTGACGGAATCTTTTCTAGACTACCTAGCGCTAATATAATCACCAAACTGGACCTTAAAGATGCATATTGGCAAATTGAGCTCAGTCCTGACTCAAAGCCGTTGACCGCCTTTACGGTCCCGGGACGACCGCTTTATCAATTTAAGGTAATGCCATTTGGGCTATGCAATGCCCCGTCTACTATGTGCCGCTTGATGGATGAAATCATTCCACCTGATCTTCGACATTGCGTTTTCGGTTATCTCGATGACCTTTGCATTGTGTCGGAAGACTTTTTATCACATCTCGCTGTGTTAGTTCGTTTAGCGGAGAAATTCCGCAAAGCAAATTTGACCCTCAATATTGACAAAAGCCAATTTTGTGTCACAAGCATTAACTACCTAGGTTATATCATTGGTAGCGGAGGTATTCGTACAGACCCTGCTAAAGTGTCATGCATTTTAAACTGGCCCTCGCCTAAAAACTTGAAGCAAGTACGTGGATTCATTGGAGTTTGTGGATGGTACCGTCGCTTCATTCACAATTTTGCCGACCTCACGTACCCAATCACTGAAGTGTTATCCTCAAAAAAGAAGTTTGTATGGACACCAGAAGCTCAACAGGCGATGGACAAATTAAAACAAATTTTGACATCGGCCCCAGTTTTATCAAACCCTGATTTTGAAAAGAAATTTTATTTGCATTGTGATGCCAGCGATTTTGGAATTGGTGCGGTTCTGGTTCAATTGTCCGACGACAGCGAAGAAAAGCCGATAGCTTTTATGTCCAAGAAATTGAATCGAGCTCAGCGCAACTATAGCGTCACCGAGCGTGAATGCTTAGCCGTAATACTTGCTATTGAAAAGTTCAGATGTTACTTGGAACTACAAGAGTTCGAGGTAGTAACAGACCATTCCAGCCTTCTTTGGCTAATGCGGCAGCAGAACGTTTCGGGTAGACTTGCTCGATGGATATTTCGCTTACAGCAATTTAAATTCGCTATATCCCATCGCAAAGGAAAGGAACATATTGTTCCGGATGCCTTATCACGGCTATGCGAAAATGAAATATCAGAGTTAGATATGAGGCCGATCATAGATCTTGAATCAGACGCTTTTCAAGACGAGGGCTACGCAACCCTGAAAAACAAATTTAGTGAAAACCCTGACAAATTTCCTGATATGAAAATTGTTGATAAACTTTTGTATATCAGAACCGAACACGCTATTGGCGATGACCCCGAGGATAAATTCACGTGGAAGTTATGGGTTCCAGAGAGGCTCAAAAACGAGGCCCTAAAGCAAGCTCATGACAGCCTCACGTCTTCGCACGCAGGCATACAAAAGACCATCGAGAAACTACGTCGTTATCTTTTCTGGCCTGGCTTAGCGAAGGATGTACGCGAGTATATTCGACAATGTGAAATCTGTAAGGAGAATAGAGCCCCCAATGTCACGTTACGTCCTCCAATGGGTGCTCATAGCCCTACTTGTCGACCTTTCCAAAAGTTGTATGTTGATCTGCTAGGACCATACCCTCGCAGTAAAAATGGCCATATAGGTTTACTCATTGTCCTTGACCATTTTAGTAAGTACCACTGGCTTCAACCGCTAAAAAAGTTTACTTCCGCTGCTATCCAAAAATTCCTTCTTGAGAATGTATTTCATAGCTTTGGAGTTCCTGAAACCGTTGTGAGCGATAACGGAACCCAATTCAAAGCTAATGACTTCCAAGCCTTCCTAACCGAATTAGGTATCAAACAGGTGTTTACTGCTTTATACTCGCCGCAGAGCAATGCTGCCGAACGCGTAAATCGTTCGTTATTAGCCGCGATTCGTTCGTATTTGAAAAACGACCAGTCTGAATGGGACTTACATCTCTCAAGCATATCCTGTTCCTTGAGATCTGCACTTCATCAATCGCTAGGATGTTCACCGTATCGAGCCTTATTTGGTCTGGATATGATTACTCATGGGTCAGACTACAAACTACTGAAGGAGTTATCATTACTTGAAGAGCCCATTGTACCCATTTCCCGATCCGACAACTTAGCGTTATTGAGAAAAGATATACAAGCAAGCATACGCAAGGCATATGACAAAAACGTTAAGCAATATAATTTACGTTCAAAACCTGTATCTTATAAAGAAGGCCAAGAAGTATACCGTCGCAACTTCGCTCTAAGTAAGTTCTCGGAAAAGTTCAATGCAAAACTAGGCTCACAATTTGTCAAATGTAGAATTCGGAAGAAGCTCGGCAACTGCTACTATCAGCTAGAAGACTTACAAGGAAAGGAAATTGGTACTTATCATGCCAAAGATATTCGTAGCTG